GTCAGTCATGTAGCAACTTGCTCTCTTTCTCTCCTGTTACCTAAGCGGCTATCCCTGGAGCGGGAGAGAAGGTCAACTTATCTCTTTGGCACTTCCTTTTCTGGGGTTATGTACTCAAAGGAGACATGGTGGATGGGGAGAGGTGTGAAGGGAAGGCGCTCACACCCCATGGGAGGCTGTGGTCTGGAGGGGATGTGAGAAAACCCCTGTGGAAGGGGACAGTGATGTCTCTCTTTCCACTGACTGTCCAGGGAGGCAAGGTGACAAACATCTGAACCTCAGTGCATGCACTTTTGGGGTCTGCACCTAGGTGGCATGAATATTTCTCTCCTAGGTCTTTCTCTGGTTTTCTTTCTTGACCTGGTTGGTAAAAAGGGGGTCGATGATTTCATGCAGCCCTCAGGATCGTGGGGATCAGTTCTGGGCTGTTTTCCTATTCTCAGCTAGTCCTTTCCTCTCTACTGAACTTGAACTTAATCTCGCCACCTCTGTGAAGGATAACAAAAAATCCTTCTACAGATACATCAATAGCAAAAGGAGGGGCAAGGAAAACCTCCATTCTTTACTGGATACGGGTGGGAATATAGTTATCAAAGATGAGGAAAAGGCTGAGGTATTTAACACCTTCTTTGTCTCAGTCTTCAACAGTAAGACAGGTTGTCCTGAGGACAGTTGGCTTCTGGAGCTTGTAGAAAGAGATAAGAATCTGAACAGCCCCCTTGTAATCCAGAAGGAGACAGTTAGTGACCTGCTGAGCCACTTGGATCCCCACAAGTCTATGGGACCAGATGGGATCCACCCAAGGGTGATGAGAGAGCTGGCAGAAGAGCTCGCCAAGACTCTTTCCATCATCTACCAACAGTCCTGACTCACAGGGGAGGTCCCAGATGGTTGGAAGTTGGCGAATGTCACGCCAATCCACAAAAAGGGCCAGAAGGAAGACCCGGGAAACTACAGGCCCGTCAGCCTGACCTCAGTGCCTGGCAAGGTTATGGAGCAGATCATCCTCAGTGCAATCACACAGCACCTACAGGATGGACAAGGGATCAGACCCAGCCAGCACAGGTTTAGGAGAGGCTTTGGCACAGGTTGGGTCTCAGTATTGCTGAATTGCCATCTTCCAAACTTCTGCCTTTTACTTCAGCGTATTTTTGCCTTTTCTTATTGATAATGTTCACTTGAGCCTTTGAGTTGTTATTACTGATTTGAAATGTTACTACTTTGGGGTTTACTTACCCCCTCTCCCCCACGCCCCCCCTTTTTTTTTTCTGGGTTGCTCTATGGTGATTGATTCAGTCCAGGTACAGGAGGCTCTCTATGGCTGAGAATTACTTGAGAATTACTCCTCCAAATGCATGTCTGTGGGGTCTCTCGCCTATTTCTACATGACAGTTAGCTTCCAGGATCACATCAATCATTCACTTGCGTTATGCTTCGTAGAAGCGTTGGCACATGTTATTGCTTAAAAGCAATAATTGTAATTCAAATACGCTGGAATACTGTAAAATGTTTCAAGAGATGGTAGACCGTCCCTCATTTGCTGTTTATTTTTTCAGAGGTGCAAACACACTGGCAGTGATTCCAGAATCTTACATTTCTGTCATGTGTTAAGCTTTTTTCTTTATGGGTAGGTGAATGATATTTATTTTCTTCAATTTCTTTTCTGGTGTTGGAATCACTTTGTATTCTTGTTAGTCAGAGGGTGAGGGATTTTCAACCTTGAATTCCAGTGCTACTGATAAATAGAATCATAGAATCATAGAATCGATTGGGTTGGAAAAGACCTCCGAGATCATCGAGTCCAACCCTTGGTCCAAATCCAGTCCATTTACTAGATCATGGCACTCAGTGCCCCGTCCAATCTGCGTTTAAAAATCTCCAGGGATGGTGAATCCACCACCTCCCTGGGCAGCCCATTCCAATGCCTGATTACTCTCTCTGTAAAGAATTTTATTTTTACTATGCTGGCAAATGCCCTAAGCTAAAATGTAAACTTTCTTATGAATTACTAAAGGTAGTGGTGTTATTCTATGAAGAATTAATTTATAGATAATGGTAAAGATTGACCAGTCTATTATTTCTTAAATTCAAGCCAGCGTGCAATAGGTATACTTTACTATTAATGCAAAAATTGCTCCCTTGTCTGTGCTATAGTTTCATAAGGATGGGACTTATCTCTCTGCTTCAAATATAAATAATGGTAACTTGTGAGTGTATGGAATTTCTGCCATAAATGTGAGAAAAAGTGTGAATAACAAATTTGTGGGCCATTAACTTTGTCTTATATTTTGAAGGGGGCAGTATTTAATAAAGTTTAATTAATAACACATTCGTTGTTTTTTATAAAATGGGACAGATTTCAAACCATATTTTTAGTCAATTTGTTGCTGGCAAATGGTATCAGAATAATGATATTTTACTTCGAGGCTACTAAATGGACAACAATATGCCCAATATAGAAAAATCTGACCATGAGCTGTTATAATGGACATGAGTTTGTGGCCTGTAACTATATATATATAAAATATGTTTGATGTGCAGAGTACTATTTAGCTGTAGTCGTACAAGTAGAATCTTAGGAAGAGAGGAAATAAGGTAAATATATTAATGTTTACAGTATGTAAAGGCAATTATATAGCTGCTTTCTGCCTGGTGATTTTTTTTTCATTACTGTTTTTCCAGTGTGGGTTGTTTTGCTTGATTTGGCTGGTATTTTTGACATTCACATCAAACTGCTGGAGCTTACCTGATGTCACTATCTGTAGAGAGTGGGTTCTGAAGGATGCATGCAAGGAGAGAGCCCCAGAGGGCAAGATTAAGGAGGAAGTTTTAACTGTTTTTGTTGCTGTCTTTGAAATAATGATAATGTTCAGTCCCTCAAAGTGAAGTGTACATACTCAGTTCCTTATGACAGTGTACTGCAAGCATGTTATTCTACCTGTTCAGAGTACTGGATACTTCAAATTTGCTGCAGTAGTTTGCGCCCAGTATGTTTATATGAACTTATATTCAGTGGCTGAAATTGTACATTTCTAGTAAGTGTCACTGCAAGACAGGAGGAAAGATGGCAAAAGTGACATTTTGTTCTTCAGTCCTCTTCATAGAATCCCTGTCTCATGTGTTGGTTTAGTTCAGAATCTCAGCATTGGTCTCAGACTATTAATTCCTTAGCTTTGTTGTCTCTGTACAGATTTTCTGAGAGACCAGTCCAATTAGCTTCAGTGATTTTTGAGTTTGCTGGGAAGAGTTTGGTCTGACTTATATCACCCAATCAGAACTCTTTTTCTGGTATGGCTGTATAAAATATAACTTTGAGTGGTTGACAGAGTAACAGTTACTGTGTTCACTTACGCAAAATAATTATTTAATCATCGAAAAGAGGAATTTTAACATTTTCATGATATTAACAGAATAAAATATCTTGACATATGTCTTCAGAATGTTTCTGTGGCATCCAATGTGACTTTGCCTCAACAAACAACCCCAGGAGGGCATGTTTTTTCATGCTGGCAGCTATGGATTGTATATTAATTTTTTAATCAACCTTCTTATGGCATTTAGAAAGCAGTTACTTTGGTTGCTGTGATTGAGGTCAGAACTCACTGATGGTACTTGTGCTGCACGAGGTTTTTGTATGGTCTTATGAATTTTCACTGTAGACTTTCAGGCATTTCTGTTGTCATGGGAAGCTGCATCATGTGGGGGGGTTGTTGGCTTTTGGGCGTGTATCTGAAGCCATTTCCTTATAGCCTCAGTTCTGATATAAACTTCTCCTCTGGGAATTAAGATCCATTCAGCTTGTATAAAACTTTCATATGCAATATCATACCTTTTTCCTTGCTGTCTAGTGAAATGTAAGGGCAGGCTCCAGATTCTAATGAAGATTCTCTTGCCTTCATGTATTATTAAGACTCCTGTGCTTTGATGCTTGGTATGAGGTCAGGTGAATAAAGCTGGACTTAAGTCTTGTTGCCTTAGAAGTGTCTGAATATCTGCCATTTTTCTAGTGATTTTTGTCTTGCTTATCTTGCTGCTTTGTTTTGCCTATTTGGAGACATGACAGATTAAGATAATAAAATTTGTTCTGTTGTTTCCCAGCAAATGCACTGGTAACCCGTAAGATCCTACTATTTGTAAAGCATATTTTTAGTTATTTAATTGTCTAATTCTTTTTAAGATGGAACTGGTAAACAGGGTTTTAACTGAGAATTAGAAATAATGGACTTTTGACCTCTTAAAAAGAAAAAAGTGAGGAAGAGGCCGACTGAGACTACCATAGCCTTGAGACTGAAAAAAAACCCTCAAGAAACCAAACACAAAGCAAGACTATCATACTTAGCAATGTTCAGTCTTTAAACCTGAGTTATCTGATACAGTATTTTCCAAAATTTTGGAAAGTACAGCCTCTCTTTGGCTCACCTGCCCTCATACGGCCACTTGAGTTTGCAACAGCATGTTTCCTTCAGGAGAATGATTGTAGTTATTCACTGAAAGTGTTTCCATTCACTCCTGCACTGTGGAGGAATGGAGCCCCTCTTGGCAGCTGCTGGTGGTGGTACTTTGGGATCTCGCAGGTTGACAACCTTTGTTTAAAAAGTACTGTGAATTGACGTGTACTCCAAAAGAAGAAAATGGTCTTACAGATCACACCACAGTGACCAATGAATTGCAGTTTGGCGTTTCTGAAGTATGAACCCTTAGGAACAGGTTTCCTGCAAAAATATAAATTGTATCAATAATTAACGACAGTACTATTTCTGTGCGTATAAGGTCAAATCAGTTACAACAATTATTTTTTTCGTAATATTAAAGAAATGGATGCTTGCAAAGCAGATTTGCCTTTTGGTCTTCTTTTGTTCCCCCAAAATTGATCTTTCAATTGCTTTTGGGAAATATGATTGCCTAATTTCCTGGGATTGCTATGTAACCTACTGATGTTGCAAGTGTCTGCTTCATTGTCTTTTTCCTCTTTCTTCCCCCTGCTGCCACAAAACATGCAGGAAGTAATTTTGGCACTGCGAAGGATCTTGCAGAAGAAATAAGGTCATTAACATCTGAGAAGGAGGGACTGGAAGGACTACTCAATGAACTGTTGGTTCTGAGTGCCAAAAATGTCCGAAAGTTAGAGAGAATTAAAGATGATTACACCAGACTGAAACAAGAACTTGAGCAAGGAGAGACTGCCTTTGGTAAGTAGTTCACAGGCTGTTACAGCTTTTTACTCAGTCCAGAACTCCTGGAAGTGTGCTGGGTTTGATGAATCATTCTGCATTTTACAAAACGTACTGAATGTCCTGAGGAAAGTTTGGCCAGGACCTAGATAAGCAGTATGCTCAATGTCTTCTCAACTGTTTCCACTGGAGTTGAGGGAGGCTTGTGGGAGAAGGGATATTAGAGTGATATACAACTTTTTGAAATCTCTCTTAGCCCAGTTCTCAAAACCTTTCTTTTCTAAACAGTTTTTATCATAGTGATGATGGTACTGTGCATGCATTCACATACAGAGGAATGTGTATTCTTTGATGCGGAAGCAATAGGTATAACCAGCTGTGACAAAAGGAACATGTTTACTATATACAACTAAATGTTTCTTGTGTACATATATACCATGTTTGGTGGTGGATCTGAACATATGAAGTGGAAGGGATACCTGATTCTGAAAGCAAGAGTTTTCATAGCAAATTTAGTTTGAGAGAGGGTTTAAATAGCTTGCAAAATGCTGCTCTCCTATAACTGTAAGCAGTGTGCTTGGGTTGTAGTGTCATGGTGGAAATGGGGAGGTTGTCTGCAATTACTGGGCAAGTTATTGACAAATGAGCAAATAGCGAGGTCATTCCTAGACTTTGCTTACCCTCTTGTCTGCTGTACTCTTTCCTGAAGTTAAGCAGATAAATGGCCTTGCTGGTTGCTTAAATGAAAAGACTGAGTAACATTTGACTGCCTGCAAATGTACAGTTACTACAGTTACTTCCATAGGTATAAGTATAATTCTGAGTTGCTTTAAAGCTCTAGGGGTTTGAAATGTCTTTTTTTTTCCCAGGATCTTACGAGTAGTATTTCCAGATCTTACGGTTAGTATTTCTTCGTACCAAGTGGATAAGCAGAGCTGTCTTAGAAACAAAAATATTTGTAGGCAACTGGGTACATCTAAGACTGTTTTAAAAAATAATAGAACTTTATATGTATACACACTACTAGATAAGAACTTGCCTTTTTAAAATCTAGATAAAAATTTTAAAAACTATTCCTCAAATTTAGCGCATTGTGATATAAACTCATAAATGCACATCAGGCAATGCTTTCTCTTTACTTGGATTTGCAGGAGAGTTGAAAAGGGTTCTAACCTTCTAATCAGTCCATTTTGTTTCTCTCTTGTTCCTAGGACAATTAAACTTCCTATAATTCACGTTTACTTCTCATTTGTATTTTTCTTCAACAGGGTTTTAAATAAAGCCTGTACAAGACTTTTGCTGAAGCAACAGAATTTGTAGCAGTTCAGACTCTTTTCTTTCCCTGTTGCATTTATGTAGCAGTAAGGAGATGTCTTCTTGATCTGATACACTATCTCCCAATTTAAGAAACTAAATTTCAAAATACTGAATGTTTGCTATGGGGATTGTTGTTTTAATTTATTGTGACTCTGTAGGCATAAGGAGAATTTTATCCTTGTGTAAAATAAAACTCTGTCAAGCAGATACTAGTCATAGATACATAAATTGAAACATGAAATATTCCTTTCTTCTTGTTCCTGCCCCCTTTACATGTGATCTGCACAATTTTCTTCTTTAACAAATGGAAACTCACTTAGGTTTGAGAACACTAGCATGAGTTTGATACCATCGCATTTAACAGAATATGAGCCTTCTGATGCACTCTGGAAACCAGTATGCAGTTGGTGTCTTGAAGATGGCATGCACCCTTATGAAATTAGTGTTATTCAGCACTTTTATGTTTAGAGAATAAAGCGTAAAGAGTTGGAATACAATTTTTCTACCATTTGTTTTTGCTGTTTAAAAGAACTGGAGGTAAGTGTGTTGACTTTGTCTGCACTGTGAAAGGTGGGATTTGAGTTGGGGTAGCTGAGCTGACTTCACAGCCTCAGGCTTGGTGTTTTGTTTATGCCAGTAAAATCTGTGTCACTGTGGAGGAAGGCAGTTTTGCCTTTTCCTTGTGTTCCTGCCCCAGCCCGTACACCAGGTCAGTGTAGACAAGAAACCTGATGTGAACTAGGCATTAGAATGCCCGTGTGGCCCACTACTGTGTAGTGGAAACACCAGCATCAGCATGAGGGGTTCAGTAGGTCTGTGGGACTTCTGATGGCAAGGGGTGTTGACCCATTGGTTTTGGTGACAGTGTGAATTTTGGGAGAGTATAGTGTGGCAGGAAAATGGCTCCTATGATGCTTGTTCCTTGAGCTAGTAGGGCACCACAGGTTCAGTTGCTCTGTGCTGTGAGTAAAATTCGTGTGAGTTGTATCACTGCTGGTGCTGCCCATTCTTGATTAGTTTGACTTCTTAAAGCTACAAGCCAGAGAGAGAAATCCTTTCTCCATCTAATTGTACTAGCTGAAGATGTTAATGTCCTCTCTGTTTTTGTTAATCTGCCTGCCCAGCATTTATTAGCTTGGCCTGAAGGGCTCTCTAACTGAAACAGCAAAAATGATCAGGGCTAGGCTGGCTGATCTGTGTCCTGGTGTGCAGTAGGGATGTGCCTGTGATTGTGGCAGACTTGTGCAATGCTTTAGCTTTGCTTTGAAATAAGTGTCTGTCCATAAACTAAACATAGTCCAATGAAAGCGATATGGAGAAAGAGGTCTCTTGATCTTTATGGAGTGATCAGGCAAGGGGGAATGGCTTCACACTGAAGGAGGGTAGACTTAGATTAGCTTTTAGGAAGACATTCTTTATTGTGGGGGCGGTGAGGCACTGGAACAGGTTGCCCAGAGAAGCTGTGGGTGCCCCATCCCTGGGAGTGTTCTAGGCCAAATAGGACAGGGCTTTGAGCGACCTGGTCAAGTGAAAGGGGGGTTGGAACTAGTTGATCTTTGAGGTCCCTTCCAACCCAAGTCTTTCTATGATTTTGATCTTTAAAGGCTTATCCCAGTTTAACTAAGTCAGTGGGTTTAGAAGTCCTTTGCTTTAGAAAGGGGATACTTTATTTTCTTTAGTAAAGGTAATCAGATCAACTAGAGCTGTTATCTCCTCAGTCTTGCTTATGAATTGTTTCCAGGGTGTAATCCTATACTTTCCCTGCCTCAGGAGCCCTCTCTCTTTTTATATAGCACCTCTGCCTGGGTATTCCTGTACATGTCTATTTCTACATCATCTACAGTTTGAATTGTTATGTTTCGTGCCTGTGAGCTTCTTCAAAACTTTTTTTTTTTGAACTGAAGATAATACTCCTTTGTATGGAAAGCATTAAATAAAAAAAAATTAAATGCTAAAATATGTGCGTATGTTTGTCTTTCTCTTGTGTATAAATTGGTCACCTACTTTTTACTTCACTAATAATTGTTGATTTCTCACAGTAATGCAGATATAAGGAAGCAGACGTCAAGGGAAGAGACTTAATCACACAATAATCAGAGCTGGAATTTTAAATAGGACACATCATTAGCATGTTAATGAATTTTCTCACTCTGTGCCAGCTGCCCCAGTATAAAAGATATTGCAGATGTAGTGCAAAAATCAGGCTTGGCTTACTGCACTGAGAGCTGTCAGTGCTCCCTGTAAGGGAAATTTGACAAAAAGTCCTTTTGTATTTTTAGAGATGCTCAAAAATGTTTTTTCCCATTGGATAATAGACGCATTGACAAGTAACACTATGTATTAGCATTTTAGGATGAATAGTACTAATTTGCCCTTTAGACTTTGACTTTCTTCTGAGGGCATTAAAAACGCTTCTGTAAAAGTGATCAAATTTTATTGTCATTTTATAGGTAGGAAAGCCAGACACTTAGGGGTCATGTAATTTTACCTGAAATGGTGGTGAAACAGTTTCCCAATTGATGGTCTAGCATCAGTACAAGTCCTGATTGAATCAATCACTTGCAATAAATAGATGCGAAATCAAGTGATACTGTGATTTTGTGTGAGCTTTACATTCTTCTAGATGGTAGCCTAAGACATAATGGTTCTGGGAAATGGCTGAAGGTCTTGTACTTGATTGTTGACCTGCCTTATAAAGTCAGAAGGTTCTTGTATGGCAAGGAAGAGAACTGCTTTGTAACCCGGAAAAACCAAACTTGTATTCCAGACAAGTGAAGCTTGATTACTTGCCTGTCTGCCAAACTGTTGGATTGCACTTATAAGTCCTGGCTTGTGTTGATTGGCATTTGTAACCCAGGGCTGGAAATGAAACATATCCTCTTGTTATTATTACCAGTACTGATCGGCAAGTTTTCCTGCCTCATCTGCTGAGTTCCTTTTTTGGCCGCTCTCAACCTTTTTCTGGCCCTATTACACTTTCGGGAAACCACTTCCTAGAAAGTAGTGGATGTATGCACAAAACCAGGGAGCACCATGTTTCCTGATCAAATTGCTAGGTTGTGCTTGTCAAGTCATGTTAAGTAGAGTTTCTATACTGAATTAATTTCTAGAGGAAATATAAAATAAAGGCTTTCATGCACATGAAAATAACTTTTTAACCCTTTTTAAAAAAACCCTCTTGTTCGAAGGCTGATACTTCAGTCTCTACTGCTTAACTTTTGTTGGCATCCTTGAGTTTCATTGTCTTAGAAATTGCTTGTGTTAAGACCTAAAGCTCTTACCAGCCTGCTTGTACAGTAAAGCTTTCTGGAATTGAACAGATATATTTATTAAACAATGAACTAGATGTAGCAGAGGGGTTTCTCAGGAAGCTGGAATTTTCTTTCATGCTCAGTTTTTCTTTCTTTTGTTCAGTACTGACACTGCATGCTTGCACAGAATGTCTTACAGCTTTTTGTCCTCATAACAGAGGAGAAACCTATCCATTTTTTAATTTGCTTTTTAAAAAAATATATCTGTGTTTTGGCTTAGCTACTTAGGAATAAAATGTGTTCAGAATGTACTTCGAAGAATAACAAAAATTATTCTAATCTTTTTGCAGTCATTGTTTCAAAAGCTGCATTTTTGACTGTTATAGAGGATACAATTAATTAGTCTAAAACTTATTGTGTGGACAGCAGAAACCACTAGTGGTGCTGCTT